CATTAAAAAGGCATGTGATTATAAAACATGGATTAAATTTAAAATTACTCTTTAAAAACTTAATACTCCTTAATGTTCATTTCATTTCAATTTGAACTTTTCCTGAAACACTGGGGAAAACATAAAATTGCACTTCAGTATAGATTATGATTTTTTAAATTAAACACAAGTTAAAAAATTATTTTGAAAACTCAAAAATGTAGGGTTCTACCATTATGTAAAAGTCACATATTAGGGGGAAAAAAGAAAAATTCTTAATTCTCTTATATTCACTTATTCTAAATTTGTGGCATAAAATATATGACATTTTATCTCAAACATGATCCAGTCCAGTACAACTCTGATGTATTTCCTAAGAAACTCTCTCTAATGTTAGTCACCATGATGGAATTCAATAGGCCACTTGGCCCTGAAGGCCATCTAACAGATTTCCTGTATCTACATATGTTTTTTTCCTCATTAAGAAAACCATTTTCCCTGAATAACACATCCCAGGCCATAAACACTTCTAATTTCAACAGTCTTCATGAAAAGGCTTTTATTCATTCATTCAGTATTCATTCATTCAGGCACTGTTCTAAGTGATGAGGTCCTTAGCTTTCATGGAGCTTAGATTTTAGTGGGGAAAGACAGACATGAAACAAACAAGAAACAGTATCAGGTGGCAATGAGAATATGCAGCTAACAGAAACAGAAGGTCCTGACAGAAAGGGACTAGATGGCTCCTTTAGATTGAGTGGTTGAGGAAGGCAACTCTAAGGAGAGGACATGTGAGATGAGATCCAAATGACCAAAGGGAGCCAGCCAAGCAAAGACCAGGAGGAAAAGTCTTTCAAGCAGAGCAAACCCTAAGGTATATATTAACTTGGAGTGTTTTAGGAATTGAAAGAAAGACCAATGTGCCTTATGCATATCGTGGGCAAGGGAGCATATAGTACAAGATGAGGTCTGAGATCACCTAGTGCTTGATAAACTTGAATAAGGAGTTTGGATTTCATTCTAAGTGTGATGAGAAAGCATTAGAGGGTTTAAGCAGAACAGTCATATATTATGATTTCCCACCTGGGAACTGAATCATTGAAGAGCAAAGCTAGGAGCAAGAAGAACAGCGATGAGGCTACTGCAGCAGTTCACATGAAAGGTGATGGTGCTATGTTAGGCCGCGGCCCACGTCCACCTGTATTAAGCCCCTAAGTGGACACGAACTGAAAATCCTTAGGCCAGTCAGCACAGGCTCTGATCAAGTGAGTGTCCCAATGCTGGGAGAGCAAAATCTTTAAGGCCAGGAAACTGAATGTTCGGCCCGGTGGCTTTGGCTCCCTGAATTGCAGAAGTTACCCTAGATGGCAGTACACTGTAATTGTTTCTTGGTGCTTATGTGGCTGGATCTGGAGCCTGTCAGACATCTCATTCTACATGGGGCTGTAGATATCCTCGAACTTCAACAGAACTTCCCATAAAATGAACAAAATAAGTAAATGACTTACCCTCTTTCTCACTTTGAAATTTACCTACCAGAAATATAGTTTTACTCAATAGGGAAAAGTAAGGTGTTCTATGAAGATGTGGATATACTATATTTATTAATCTCAATAACCAAATAGCAAAAAAGGGTACTCAAATTTTTAGAAAACATGAATATGGTAGAGAAAAAGATCAAAATTAAGACCTAGGTTAGCAAGTCCAATCACTCCTTAAACACTCTCTCTGGCTCAACCTTTGTGCAAATTCACAATGGCTAGCTGTGAATATACACAACTGGCACACAAGAACATTTGCTGAGCGAATAGCCCTACCCAACACATGGTCTGAGAACTATTAATCTAGAACAAAAACAAGGCCACTTTTGTAAAACTTCTGTTTTAGCTCAACTGACTTATAATTTGTGATCATTCAAATTGAGGCTTTAGTCAGTGCTTTTGAAAGGCTACTATGATTGCCCTGGCCAGGTGGCTCAGTTGGTTGGAGTGTCCTCCCACACACCAAACAGCTGCAGATTCAATCCCTAGTCAGAGCATTTACAGGAGGCAACTGATAGATGTCTGTCTCTCTCTCTCTCTCTCTCTCCCCCCCCTCCCCCCACCCACCTTCTCCCTCTCTCTGTAAAATCAATAAACATATCTTCAGGTGAAGACTTTTTAAAAAGGCTACTATGGTTAAGACAATAATAACTATTATTGAGCACTCACATTGAATAAGACCACATGCTAAGTGCTTTTCATGTAATGTCTCATTTAATTTTTGCAAACCAACTTTATCAAACAGAAACTATTATTCTTATTTCCAAATGAGGAAATGGAGGCTTAGAGATATAAAGTAGCTTGTCTGATGTCACAGTGCTGTAAAGTGAAAAAATTGGGCTTGTAAAAGGCAAAGCCTGTCTAAATTAAAAACCCTGTGATCTTAACCACACTCAATGTTTCATTTAAAATCTTAATTAGTACAAAGAAAGAACACTTAACTAATCTCTTAGAGCTTCTCAGAACAAGAATACTGAATAAAATAAATTCAATAATATGCTTTAAGCATCATATACTGAAATAATTTACTAATTACCAATTCTGTCTATGTCATTAAAGCAAGTCCCTTTCTCTGCTGGCTACTTCATTAACCTATCCTAGTGACTCTTTATATTTAAACATAATAAAACTCAATTTTTTACAAAAATAAATCCATCATTCACCCTTACCTAAGACTATCCTCAATCCCCAGCCCAACTTTCTGAGTTTACTATATTTTAATAAAAAGTAAATGGTTTTATAATTAATTTGAAGCTCTTACTACTGAACAAATTTACACATGTGCATGCATACATACACACTTTGTGTGCAAATTTTCTATTCTACTTAACTTTGGCTAAAAGCTGGCTACTGCTGCCAATATATTCACAGTCTACACATCTTTCTGTTCAACACATGCTATTTATTAAAATAGCAAAGAATAAAACACAATGATGAATTTTAAAATGCACATTTAGGCAGATGACTTGTATATAATTAACATAATAATCTAGTTTGAGATGTCTTTCCATTATGTTTCTTTCTCCTTGACTTTAACCAGTAGGTAAAGTCTTTGCTTTTTAGTATAATTTTATCCCCAAAAAGAAAATGAATATATCCCACCATATTAATATAACATCAATTAGAAACACAAATTGTTATTTCTTTCATTACATGATCATATGAAATTGAGCCAGCGGCAGATTATATAGTAAAGAACATTCAGGAAAATGTTCATCTATAATCTCTTCATTTTACATATTTAACATTCTGTGTAACTGCATACTCTATTATACGATCACATTCTGAAAGAGAGCATTATAAATACAAGAAAGAAGTTAGAGCTAAGCCAAAAGTGCTATTAAATCTCAAATGTAACACTACAGCAATTTTTGCATAAATCCATAGAACTTAGATAAATTTTTTTAGCACAGAAAGGGCATAACAGCAGTCTAACAGCCCATCGCGTCTGACACCTGTCTCTGACAGTGACCTGTGCTGGGTGCCTCACAGGGCAGTGTAAACACATAATGGATGCAATTACGCATCGCTACACCGTTTCTCCAGATGGCAGTTAGGTTAGATCCTGAAAGAAATGAAGACAGATCCCAACCTCCATCCCTTCCCTACTCTGTGATTTCCCAAAAGGTGACGGGAAACCTCAAATGAAGCACAAAGTTTAACCATAAAATAAGCTACTGCTTTAGTGACGTAACGACCAAGAAATGATCTCCTAAAATGAAAAGTTCCACTTAAAAGTAGAACTTAAGCTCATCAGATTCATGATTTGTGAAGGGGTATCTGATTCGTTCAATTAGAATTATCAAATAGATGAGCAAAATTTAAAGCTTTAAGAAAAAACAAACCTGTATCTTTTACTTAAGCCATCCATCTTGTGCTATGTAATACTGTTTTTTAAAAACAATATAAAATTTGCCTTTTTTAACTCTTCAGAGAAATGATATTCCCACTTGTTTTGTGGTGGTTTTAAAGTTAGGCTTGGATTTACTAAATGTGCATTTAAGTGTGCAAAAGCACACAATGAAGAAATCTTGGTTCAGTCCTTCAGGATGTACTATTTCCTAAACAATTACAGACAAAAAAAAATGCACTTTTCAATGGCCTAGAGAAGATAATTCTCTTCGCGGTATACTTAGGTATTGCTTTAACGTTTGTAGTCAGGAAACGGTTCCTGACCTAAATCCTCCACGGTGTAATTTGAATACATTTTCTCTTTTTTTTGTCCTCAAATAGTTGTAAAAGTTTAGGTCATATCATAATATTTTACATATTTGAAATCCTTATTAAGCACTCGTTTTCCAAGTAACTGCATTGCAGGATGATGAACCAAGTAACAGTCTTTACTACATTCAGTCTTATCAATTTTATATACTGTACATCATAGCCCAAAAGACAGGTCTCAAAAATTACTTCTCCATCGCTTTTACCAAGCACTACCTTCCCCCATTATAACACTCTTTCTAAAAAAAGAAAAAGAAAAAGAAAAAATTATCTATATTTCGGGACCTCAAAATTTTAGAAAAGGAACTTTGTGAGATGAGAGCAAGAAACAATGTACACAAAATTCCACACAGACACCTAGTCCTTCCCTAGAATAGGGGATCATTTAATGAAATGTATCTCCCAAAATCTCTGGGGCAAAGCTGAAGCTGCAGTGCAGTATCATAAAATCTGCAGCTGTGCTGCTGTTCTTAATAGCCCAAGCTGCTTCCTTAGACCTGAGGAAGCCAAAACACACACTGTCAGAACAGAACTTACCTTAACAGGAATTGGCCAAAGAAGCAGAGCAGTTATGATAGAGCAATCGTCAAAACTGTTTTTGAAAAGACTGTACATATCTTTAGGAATTTTCTCCGCAAGCAATTAGCTTACTACAGGAAAGCTGTGTCTATTTTTGTTTCCAAACATCAAAATTTTTTAAGAACTAAAAACAATAGGCAAGTAAACTTTACTATATATAAATAAGCATTAATAACTTACTTTTATTGCCCACCAAGGCAATCAGTGGTTGAGTTTCTGACTCCTCGCTCACTTTCTTCACCACAGTATACCAGTCTTCTAAATTCTCGAAGCTTTGATAATTCGTAATATCATATACCAAGAGGATTCCCTGTCGCAAAGGAGTTACAGGATATTTGTAATGCACTACTTGAAAAAAATATTAATACTAAATACTCTAAAGCAATGCTTCAGATATGACTAGAATAGGGTAAAATTACAAATGCAGACTATTTTATATACAAACTGGCTTCAAATTAGTTACTAGCAAACAGGTAATACTAAATGTTTTCATTCAAGATAAACCCAAATCCAGCGATGCAAGCTAAATAATAATTTTATCAAATGATAAATGGTTTCCCAATAAGATATCTGGGGTATGTTTGTTAAGTTACAATAAATGTAAGAAAATCACATCAGAGAGGAAGAAAACCCTGCATGGTCTACAATACTGTCCGTTACTTTCATGAGGTCAAACATTTAAACCTTTCAATAAATAACCATCTGCTGCTGCTCTTTTTAAATATTTTCAAAAATGGACATTCCATGACATCCCTTGATAGTCCATTTCAGTGTTTTAACACAATTTTCTTTAAATGAAATAAGCTCATTTCCTCTTCTGGTCCTCTGTGCATTTGGAGAACAACGTGCGAGTATCCTCCTTATAATAACCCTTCATGTACTTGAAGACAGTTAAGAAACTCCTTTACCGTCTCCTTTCCAGAATAAACAAACTCAATTCCTTAAACTTGCCTCAAAGGACCTATTTTCTATCCCTTTAATCATAGTTGTTAGTTCTTCCCAGGACACTCTCTATACAGTTTTTTGACATCCTCTTTAAAATGAGCAATGTAAAACTGGACATGATGCTGTAATAAGAGCACGAACAAAGCCAAATATAACAGAGGGACTGCTTCCTGCCTCTTAAATATCATATTCCTTTTAATATATCCCATTATTTTGTGTGGGAAGGAGAAGTAAGTACACACACAAAAATAACAGTGCCACATTCTTGATTCTCATCCAGTCTGTGGTCAAACACTTAATACAAAGCACTGCATACAATATATGTCTGGACCCTAATAGCATTTATGTCTCCTTCTTCTTAGGTTATAATCATAAATGTTGACTACTTTTTTGCACCTATAATGTACCAAAGAGATATCTACATCTTTTCATTCATCCTCACAAGCACGCAAAGCTGGTGTTATTATCCTTGTTTTACTAATAAATGGAGGTTACAATAACCAAGGTCACACAGCTAGTTAAGGAATTGAGCCAGAGTTCAAATCAAAGACAGAATGAATATAAAATTCACTCATTCATTCCACAAACTACATGCCTAGACTGTGCTGGGTGCTAGGGATATAAATTCCAAACTTCAAGGAGCTCACAGTCTTGAAGCAAAGCCAAGCACACAGACAGACAAATACACAACACTTGTCCATGTACACAGAAGTCATGGACAGAGATATTCTGGTAAATATTAATCGGCTGGTTCGGGGGATGGCAGAGGTAGGGGTGGGAAGAGTGGTGCTTGTAGCATTTGCCAAATTCTGTGGTGTACACACTGCCTTGTGGACATTTCCAAGCTATCAAAGTCACTTCACTTAACACGGAGCTGGTTAGGGCACCACTATTCAGCATCTCCACCACACGGGTACAATAAAAGTAAATAATCACCACAGCATAGATAACAAAAATATATAACAAAATAATTAGTAAGTGTGCATTTTGAGCACATATTCGTTTTAATATAATTTATAAGTTAGATATAATTTTTAATCATAAATGAACTGTAACAACAGTTCACAAACACTCCTGGACTTATAAAGCTCCCAGAAGGCTCTAGCATACTACTGTAATAATCTTCCAGTACAATGCTCTTTTTTTTCTTTTCTACACGTAATCATTTATCTAATTATCCAATCCTCACAACCTTATGACACAGGAAATTGAAGTGCAGAGAGGTTAACTAACTTGCCCAAAATTGAACATCTGGCTTCAAACGCAGGCAGTCAACTCCAGAATCTTTGAGAGTCTTTGTCTCCTTTTTTCTCTGTCCCATGCTCTTTCATTGACTACACTGCCCCCAAACCACTTTGTTTCTCTGAATCTTGGGTTGTTTGCCTCTAAAATTAAATTGATAAGAACAGATACTACACCTGATGTTAGCCAAAAGGCTGAGACACAGTGCCGATAAAATTAGATCAGTGCATTAGTCTCCAAGATCGCTTCCAGTTTAAATATTCTATAATAATTATGCAAAAATCACTTGTCTGATTCATTTGGGTAACTTAGACATCTATTTCTGTCTCCTCAAATGCACTGAAATAATACGCAACACAGAATTATTTGACCTTCCAGCCAAGATGCTGGCATAGGTAAACATGGTTTGCCTCCAAGCACAACCACATCAAAATTACAAATAAACTATAGAACCACCATCACTCAGAACCGTCAGAAACTGAGTTGAATAGAAGTCTGACAACTATGAAATTAAAGAAACCACATCCATCCAGAATAGCAGAAGGGGTGGAGACACAGAACAGGCTGGTCCCACATCTACATATGGTGAATAAAAATTGGGGAGGGATATCTCAGTACCAAGCAATCCCAACACCACTCTAGGCCCTCCAGCCCAGGGCTCCAGTGCCAGGAAGATAAGTCCCCATAAATCCTGGCTGCAAAAATCCACAGGGATTAAGTCACTGGAAATAAATTTTGGTGTCCCAAGCAGTTCCTCTTAAAGAACCCACACAGGAACGTAGGCATACTCACTCCCCGTGGACTGCAGCATGGAGCTGCAGCTTGAAAGACACGAGTGGCATATAGGAAGACACTGAAGTGTCTGGCATCAAGGCAAGAGCCGGGGGACAGCTTTCTTCCAGACAGGAAGGAGGGCAGAGGCCAGTGCCCTTTTTCTAACCCTGTCCCCACAGAGCCACAGAGCCCTGCTATCTACAGATCCGGGGCGATGCTTCTGTCATCCTTCTTTACACCTGCCATGCCTAAGTGATTAAGTGAAGTAATGAAAAAGAGATTTAAAAACTAACATACACAATTGCTGGAATTTTTTTATTATTATTCTGAATGAAAAAGAATCACATTTTCAAAGCAATTTTAAGGTAGTTTTTATACTCATAAATTGAGCCTTGACCTGTGATGATTCTTAAACCTTAAGACTTTTGGAACCCTTTTAATTAATATAGGCAAATCTTAATCTCAACATGGGTCAATATCTGAACATGGAAGAACACATGCAAATAAAACAAGGCTACCATATCTTGATAATCAGAACTAGACAGAGCTATGGAATACAAATTAAATAACACTGATCTACATCAGGGATCTATGGCCCACAGGTCAAATCAAGCTCATACCCATATTTTTAAATAAACTGCTCTTGAAATTTACTCATTTTCATTATTTTAAGTATTATCGACAACTGCTTTTGCACTACAACTGCATAGCTGAGCACCTGCAGCATAGACAGTATGGCCTGAAGAACCTAAAACAGTTTCTATCTAGCTCTTTAAGGGAAAGTTTGCCAATTCCTGACATAGAACAATGTGTTCTCATATTTCTCAGTCAGCAATACCTATGGATCTTCCAGGACTCACCAGAAAGATAAAAGGATTATCACTTTTTCATTACTCTAGCTATTCACTAACTCAAACATCTATCTGTTCATAAACCCCATTTGTAACACCATTTAATGTAAAAACTATGACTTTATCTTTGCTCCTAAGATGAAAATTTTGTACTAGTTTTGACCATCACTACTACGGTGAAATTTGAAAAGAGAAGATAAGAAAACCAAAGACACTAAAATACAAAAGACATTCCAGACCAAATTGGGTACTGAATTTACCGAGGTAATCACTTCATAAAGTATATAACTATCTAACCACTATGTTGTACACCTGAAACTAATATAATATTGTATATCAAATATAACTGAAAAATAAACATTAAAAAAAAAAGTAAAGAAAAAAGAAATTTCAGGACTTTTGTCTCAATTCCAACATGTAAAGAGATTAGAAGTTGTCATCATTGGTCCTTATAATCAACAAAAAGCTAAAAAAACTGAAAATAAATTAATTTTCTTGGATATAACAGAGCTGAGTTTACCAAGCAAATGCCCATCCTAAAATCTCAAGAGACAGGTAAATTCAGAGAGCTATAACCCAAATCTGCTTGCCTAGAGCAGAAATCATTAGAGCCAGTAAATGGTAGAAACATTTAAATGACAAATTTGATGAACTGCTCAAGGCTGAGTGTGCTCTAGTTTGAAAGTGAGAAATTCCTGGAGGACAAAATGTTAAGAGGTAAGGGGGTTTACCCCCAGGAATCCCACCAGATCCTCGTGGTAGAGTTAAGAAAGATCCTGTCATGGCTCTGGCATGGGAAGTGAGAAAGCAACCCTTGTAAAATCTGCCAGAGCATTATCCATGAAAAAGGCATACTCTCCAAGAGGAAAAGCTTAATCAGAGCCTTGTATGACGACATGGAGGAAGGGCACTTCCTAATTCCAGCCACCTCTAGCCATCCTGTCTCACCTAAGTGAAAAGAGCCAAGAAACACCTATGAAGATCACAGTCCAGGGTCACAGGCCACTAAAAGGCCATGACTTAATTGTAAGAGTAAAGACTATCTCCCCATTCATCAGAGTACAGGATGCGTCCCCTTTCTCATACTTTACCACAACACCAACAGGGCTCCAGTGTAATAGTAGGGGATTACAGCTGGAAAAACTGCAAGACACGAACTTCAACTAAGGAGGAATTCTTTGAGATACTCAGAAAAAAAGGAGAGAAAAACTCAAGGACATAGAAGAATTTGATGTCTCTGGCACCTACAGCTTCAGCTAACATTAAACACAGACCAACTTTTGGCTAAGTTAACATAAACCTCACAATAAAGACCTATTTGCCTGAGTTCTGAGTTCTCGTTACTCAATACATCATGTCTAGCTTTCAATAAAAAAATCAGAAAGAACACTAAAAGGCACTTTAAAAAGAAAAAGCAAACATCAGAATCAAACTGAGATATAGTACAGATTTTGTAATTATCACACCAAGGATTTAAAATAACTATGATTAATATGTT